GGTCTGCACCGAGCTCCAGGTGCGGGTGGGGTGGCCATGGCCCCTCGCAGCCCCCACCCCTGCCGACAGCCCCTTCCTCTGCCACTGATGTTCCAGGCCCCGCCCTCGCTTTTATAATAAAGAGCAGCCGCTCCCTGTAAACTCGGGTTAATGACGGCCCCCGTGGCAGCGACGCTGTCACATCTGCAGGACTGGGCTGCGGGCACAGTGCCCGCCGCAGGCTGGGGGAGGGGCATCGGCTGCACCCCACCTTCCTCTGGGGAGGGGGCCCTTGAACCTGGGGTGTCCCTCCTGAGCACGTCCATGGGAGGGGCAGCCAGCAGGCCCAAGAGCGAGGAGGTCATCGTGGCCATGGTCACTCGACCACCTTGGTTCTGTGGACCATCTGCAACCCTTTGGCCAGTCCCCTGCCCGGGCCCCCTGTCCCTGGGAAGGCACTGACCAGGGCCCCCTCCTTCCTGGGCAGGGGGGCCAGTGGAGGGTGTGGGAAGGGAGGGTCAGGGCAGGGGACGCTCCGTCCGCGTCCAGCCCTGGCTCCAGGGCAGTTGGTCAGCTTCGGGGACGGGAGGGCTGCCTGCTGTCCGACGGAGGAGCACACGGAGGCCGAGGGAGCCCAGGGTGATGGATGAGTTCTCTCGGCACTTAAATGTCACCCACCAACACCCAGGCCTGCGGATGAAGAAGCAACACCCCAAAGCCAGGCTCAGCCCCCGGCACTGGGCGTCCAGTGCTCACGAAGCCCCTGACCGCCGCCCCAGGCCCCCCTGTTGTCCACCGCAGGGGCACTCGGGCTGTTCCGGGTCTTTAGGAGCTTCCAGGTCAGTCTCCAATGTTCAATTCCCCCGGGGCGTGTGGAGGGAGGGTGTCTGTCCGTCCCTGCTGGAGTGCAGGTCACCCAGAAAAGCAGTGAGGCCCGTGGTCAGGAGCCGGGGCCGCGTGGCGTCCTCTGAGGCCCTGGCCACCCCGCGGGCGGCTGGGCTCTGGAAGGAGACCATCGGACCCAGGAGTGTGGCCCGGGACGAGGCGCCTTCCACCAGGGAGCGTGTGGGTCATCGAGTCCGTAAAAGGGGAAGGACCACAGCGACTGTCTTCCCAAGGAGGAGGGGAGGCTGGGAAAGCCAGCCCAGAGCCCAGACCCTCAAGGAGGAGATGGATACATTCGATTACGCAACTCACTTAAAACCCAACGCAGAGCAAGACACCGGGAGGCAGACGGGACGGACCCCTCGACGGACCCCTCGCGCCCGGCAGGGGCGCTGTGGTCGAAGGCGGGTCAGGGTCTGACGCGGGGCCAGCGCTCCCACTGCTGGGTCTGCCCGACAGTCCGACATGGCGACAGGTCTGAGGGGAGGTGCTGGTCTCAGCACCAGTTTAGGAATCAGAGGCCCTGCGACGTTTGGTGGATTATGACGTGGACACCAGGCGGGGAGGGCTGCGTTCTGAGTTACAAAGGCGTCGCCCGAAGGACTGATCATGGGATAGACCTAAGGATGTTGGTAAACGGCAGGGTTATGGACTGCCGCCTGCGACCTCCAGGGGGACACGAGCCAATCAGGAGCGAGGCTGCGCTGAGCGTGTGTGTGTGTGTGTGTGTGTGTGTGTGTGTGTGTGTGTGTTCCTGGACACACTGACCACTCAGAGGAGTGTCTCATCAATGTCCTCTGCTCCACGGCTCCCGGGAGGCCGGGGTAGTGGGGGCGGCTTTGCGGGACGGGCTGGAGCTCGGCTGGACGACCGTGGGCACCAGAGGCCCGGACGGGACTGGCTGGGATGGGT